TATATATATACACCACTTTGTTACATAAAGTGTATGTTTTTTCAGTTCATAGGAAACATTTCTGGTTAAAAAATTATAAGTAGCTGAAATCAAGACTTTGGACTTGACATACTTGTTTTATTTATCAGAATATTGATCAGTCCTATTGTTTCTTCTTCATATACATCATTTGAATTATCAGTGCCACTGACTTTCTCTGTTTTCCCTCATCATAGAAGTATAAAAATCGTGCCTGACCTAAAACTCATATTTGTTTGTTTCAGTGTTGTATAACTCAAAGCAATACTTGAGTAAAAGTGCAAGTATCTTACCATAAAATCCCTTTGGTAAAAGTTTAAGTCTTCTCGAAGAATATTACTGGAATAAAACACTTAAAGTATCTGACATTTGTTGTATGAAAAGCCCATAAAAAGTCATTTTTGATATGCCTTAAAAGTAAATGCATTGTGTAAAAGTGAGCAGTTAAAATTTCCAAAAGGACGCTTGCGAGGTAATCATTCTGCTTAGTCCACCAGGGGATCACCACACTTCTCACAGAACCTGCAAATATCACAACATTCAGCATCCCAGCACACATTAAAATATTAAAGCCTACCATAAACAACACATCCACGTTTTTTATTGACTCGTGTTTGAGGTTTTTATTCATAAAGCTAAAGTGTGAATGATGTTTTTTCACAAGCTCAACATTTAACTGTGAACTCGTACTCACACATACAGCAAAGTAACACAGTTGCACTCTGCCTGTGGTGAATTAGCTGTTAGATATGCCTGTAATGTAGTCTCGGACTTGTTTTTACTTTGCACATTTGTCCGGTACTGATGTTTGCTGATGTCAAATTTGAAAGCTATTTGATTGTGCAGCTCAGCGCTGCAGTTTAGGCTCAACAAACAACATTAACAGCATTACAACAACATTAGTCATGTGTTTTGGATACAATTACCCATCTATGAAAAGGTGTGTCCAAACTGAAAATCCATATTTTATGTATTTGTGACAGTATATACACAGAAAAGTTAGTATATCCTTTAGAATAAGGAAATGTGGCCCTCCTCATGATTCAATTCAGTCCCTGCGAGGTACAATCTGAGGGTACAGAGGAACCCATGGTAGCTTTTAAGTTACAAAAGGCCCTTTTTAACATTGCCTAGTTTTCATGTTTGTGTCCATCAGGAAAATAATAAATGATTTAAGCATATATTTTAGAACTGCAAATAATAAGAAGCTAAAAGAAAAGAAAAACAACAATAATGTTGCCCGTCCGCAGTTTAGCAGGATCACGTGAACCAGCCAGAAGGATGTTGTAAAAGTGATTTGTAAGCAGATGAGATGAAAATAGAAAATGGTAATTGAATGAGAAGTGTCAAATTTAACGTTCAAGCATAACAACTACCTCCTGTCTGTGAGGGTAACAAACACTAACAGCCTGATGAAAGCCATCAACAGTCCAGAGTTGAAGCTGTTTTCTGCTCTAAATGGATGTTGCAGGATTTGCTAACATTTGCCATGATTGCATTATGCTACTCGTAAATCAGTAATGTTGTGTCATTTACTTAAATAAAATAACCAAATTTTGTTTTTGGTGTTTTATTATGCAGTTGCTACTTGTGCAGAAAAGCAAAAGCGTAAGATCTTGCCATGATAATGAGCATTTTCTTCTCCAAACCCTTTAAAAACAGTATGTTTATTCACATGTGATGCCTCATCCACTGGTGAAAGCAAGACTGCTTTATTATTTCCCTAATAGGCAGAATCTGATTTCCCTTACACGGGAAGTGCTTTTTTAACTGACTGAACTACAATATTTTTATTTCTGTATAAGTGTGCACAGAGGAGAACAAAAACAAATAAAAAAACATAAAAACTGAGATCATGGCCTGCAAGACAAGTGAAGCCACTCCTGCACAGGCAAGATTAAAACGAAGAAGGAAGGCCTATTCTTGAACTTCCCAAAACAGAGTACAGTAACACGTTTTACCACACTGTGTTTTTGGAGCGTGATAGCTCACTTTGTGTTCACGGCGTGAAGTTATATTTACTAAGACAGCGGGTCTTCTCAGAAATGTGTCTTTTAATAAAACCTGCAGCGACTAAGTTTTTTTTCTTCTTAATAATTGATCTTCAAAGAATTCTTATGGAAACTAAATTTACCCCATAGATGTTTATAAAGTGTATAAAGTATCTTATTAGCAATTAGACCTTACTTCTGCTATTTTACTGAGCTGTTCCTGCATTTCCTGTTTTGAATGTCTGTCAGTTTCTACAGTCTGAGTTTTCTTAAGGCATGTGTTTGACTTTTGGAGCAAGAGTTTGAGAGCTTTGAGCTCTGGTTTTGGGATCTGTAAGAACAAATCTTTTTTTTTTCAATTTGGCTTATATGTCACATTGTTTTCTTTACATAAAGATTGTCAAGAAAAGATATGTTTCTTTTGTTACTGCTGTCAAAATGTAATATTTACAGCGGGTAAAATAAGTATTGAACACGTCACCATTTTTCTCAGTAAATATATTACTAGAGGTGCTAATG